CGCCCGCGCTGTGGTGCTGCTCGCGGTGCTGCCCGGGCCCAGCGCGCCCGACGGCGACGCTGCAGGAAGGAGGCGGAGGTGGGTTAGACAGAGGAAGGGAGGAAAAAGGGGGGCCGTGCTGGGCTCTGCTCCCAGGATGTGCACGGAGGGAGGCCTTCACATGGCGTCACAGGGCGGTTGAGGTTGTCAGGGACCTCTAGGGATCACCCAGTCCAACCCCTGCTCCAGCAGGGACAACCAGAGCAGGGGCACAGGGTGGCATCCAGGCGGGTTTGAAGATCTCCAGAGAAGGAGCTTCCACAGCCTGGGTTTCAGTCCTGTCACTGGCCACCACCGAGGAGAGTTTGGCCCCATCCCCCCTACACCCTCCCCTCAGGTGCTTGCACACGTTGATGAGATCCCCTCTCCGGCTGCTCTTCTCGGGCCAAGTCCCACAGGCCGCAGGCGAAGGAAGACACAACGAGCGCCACAAGAGCACACGGCCTCCTCATCTGCCCCTGCTCGCTACCCCCGTGCTGGTGCCCAGGCCCCTCGATACACCACCTCTTAAATCTCCACGCCCCGAGACGTCCCTGAAACCCAGAGCCGCCCCCTCGAGCACGCCCAGATCCTCCCTCAACATCGGGGTGGCTCCATTTCCCGAGACTCGTCGCGCTCTGCCCTGCTGGCACGGCCCACACGCGCCATCAGCGCCGTGCTCGTTATTCGGGTGCAATGACACTGCTGTCACTGCAGCGCAGGACAGGCTCCCCCAGGCCCAGCCTGTGGAAATCGCGGAGACGCCTGCCCTCACTGGGGAACAGCAGCTTTTCTGTCCTGAGTGAGTTTAATTTTTAATTTAAAAAATAACCGGGCCAGTTTTCCAGGCTTCTTGTGCCACCTCGCTCTCACCACGAGGCCCGGGTTTGAATGAATGCCAAAAAACACACGGCAAACTCCTGCCAGGGTTGACAGATTCCTCCTAGTTGCTCTTCAAAGCCCTGCTAAATCACCAAGCGGGACGTGATTTCCAATTGACGTTCCTGGGAGGCTTGAAATTTGTGGAGAACTTCAGCAAATTTTACCCCTATTCACTGCAGCCGCTCTTGCCACGAGAGCGTATTTCATCTCCTCCCAATAACAATGGTTACTCCAATAGCCACAACCCGTGGGATTTTGCCCATTTCCAAAGGTAATTACTGCTTACTTTCCATTCAAAATGCCCTGTGCCGTGCGCTACAGATGCAGAGGTGAGAAGAACAGATGTAGCGGATAGAGCTGCAAAGGAAAAATGGGTAAATTACCCTTAAAATCATTCGCACGGTCACTCGTGAGTGCAAAGAGATAGGAAGAGCCTTCTAGCAGCCAGCAGGGAGAAGTAACGAGCTCAACCTTAAAATACCCTTTTTTTTTTTTTTTACTGAGTTTCCTTTCTATTTTTAAAAATAGGCAGCTCCAGCACTTACAGTTACCATGGGTCTGGGGGGAAAAGACCTGACTGCTTTAAGACCGAGTTAGGTTGGAAGGAGGCATCGGGACCATCTGCCTAGGAACAACTGTTTCCAAGCCAAGAAATCATCGATCGACAGCAAGCGGGGCAAAATGGCCCATGCCAAGCAGTACAGACCTCCTCCCGCTTCCCTGAGACACGGGGGATGGCTTCTCCATGCGACTCCTCTCCTGTTTTTCCATCACGGTCACATCCACAATTCCCTTACGCCCATTGCTGCCCCATCAGGACAAATAGAGCACTGCCTATTTCTGAGAAACACAAAACCCCATGGTCCCTCAAGCCCTCCCTGCTAATTTTGCCCTTTGCGTATTTGACAAATACAGTTTTTGCTCCCAGCATTTCCTTTTTTCCCCCCATTTCTTATTCCTTTGAACGACAGTACAAGTTGTATTTACACAGCAATAAGAAGGCTTAGGCGAGCCTTGAAAGAAGAAACACACAAAGCCCCCAAACCTAATGCAGTTGGGAGATTAGATTTAAAAAGAGAAATCACAGCTGCTTTTCTCTTCCCTGTCACACAAACACCTCCCGTGGGAATTAGCTTTCTACAGGCACTCCCTAACCCATTTCAGAGTGTTCTCTGAAGCTCACTACAAAAGAGCGATGATTTAAAAATGAATGAATTCGCCCCAAAATATCAGATAGGCAATAGCCCCACTGCGTCCAACGCACCCGTGTTGCCTTCAGCAGAAGGCCCCAGAAACCTCAGCAAGATAGTTAAAGTCATAGGACACTGAAAGCAGCAATTGCACAGGGCTCATCTCCAAACCATGCCCACCAAAGTCACCTTGAAGCAAAACCTAACATTTCCCAGCACTAATGTCTCTAAAACTGATCATTCCTAACCACAATCCTTCTGCGCATTCCACTGAGAGGTCAGGCCTCGCCAAAAACACGCTGGTCATTGCTGTGAACTTCCAGGTTTCCCCCCAAAAAATGAACCACACCCAGCAGACTGGCTGTTTTGTGCGTGTGCCTGTGTGAAATACCAACTTTCATGCTTTTGTAAGTGTTTTTTTAATGTGTGGGCTTCATATTTCTCTTGCCGCGGACTGTCAGGTCTTCAAATGAGTTATCATTGGGCTTAAAGAAGCCTTTCTTTCTACCTGAAGAGCTTATCTTCTCCAAGTAGTCACTGAACCCACCTTAAGATGTGACCATGGCCCTCTTCCATCCATGTGCAGCTCAAAAACAACCTTACCTACAAACTTACCCCAATTTTCCTACCCAGGACCTCTTCTTAATCCACCTTCTTGGACTTCTCGTACCCTTTAGCACCCACCCAGCCAGAGCATTAGCAACATACGGATATTGCTGGTTTCCTGCAACTTGTTATGGCCATCAAAGGCCTGCAACTTGTTATGGCCATCAAAGGTACAGGTGCCCAGGTAGTGTTCTCCTCTATCCTGTCAACGAGGGGAATGGATTCAAGGAGGAGAAGGCGGATATGGCAGCTTAACAACTGGCTGCGCCGCTGGGCTTGGCAACAGGGTTTTGGCTTCTATGACCATGGGACTCTGTTTGATGACCACCAGCTAGTGGGGAATGATGGGACGCATCTCAGCAAGAGGGGCACATGTCTCTTTCTTTGCCAAAAGGCTGGCCAACCTGGTTAAGAGGGCTTTAAACTAGGCAAGAAGGGGGAAGTGGAGTGTCACACAGACATGGCGAACAGTACCATGCAGGCTAGATCAGATGGCTTCCAGTGGGAGTATGCTAGTGGGGAAGTGAGGATAGGAAATGATCACGGAGGGTCCTCTTTCACCCCTCCTGGGAAACCTGTGGCCTCT